ATTGACAGATGTATGACTTTGCCATGCTTAAGAACAGAAAATTAGATAAAATATTTTCTTTCTTCCAAAGAAAAACAGACAGACCTGAAAAGCTCTCTCGGAACATCTCAATTTAAAGGGTCTCTGTTTTGACTCAGTAGTTGAAATATTTGTGAGGGGTGAGGAGAAATGTAGACCTCTCTGGTCTATTTCCTCAGCTGGCTGAGTAAAAAGATTTTGAAAGAAATGGGTAAGGCCCACGCCTGACATGGTGGGTAAGGCAGCTGGACCCTACACGGCTGACAGCAGGGTATGAGTCCCGTATCCGGCAGCTTGGGAAACACGCATGGTGCGTGTGCGTGCTCAGAATCCCAAAAGGAGGGAGGAGTGGAGGAGGAGGGGTGGAGGAGGAGGGACTGTGGGGCAACCATTCTCTGTGGGAGCTGCTTTCTCACTTTCCTCCTTGCTCTCTGGCTCTCTGGCTCTCTCCCAGGAGCACACATGCCCTCTGGCAAATTAAAAAATATGGACAGGCGTGAGGGCACTTTTTTGTAGGTGACTGATTTATTAATGCTGCCGTTTGTTTGCTTGTTATCTACCTGTAAGGACAAAATGCTACAGAGACAAAGAATTTCTTAGCACAAGACTGTCACAGTAAACAAGCTCTTTTAGTATTTGAGGAACATGAGTCACCATTTATTTGTATTCTGAGTAGGATCTGTTCAGTAGTGACTCTCCGTAAGGATATTTTATTCAAGGGCAGCAGGGCTATTAAGTGAAGTATTATTTTCATATTTAATAGTCTCTCACTTAATGAAAACCACATCTCTCAGTCATACTGTGACATTCAGAAATTAGATACTATCTTAACTGAAATTATAGTCAAATTCTCAATTATAGTCACGTATGATATTTTATAAAATAATATTTATGGAAAATCCCTCATTTGTTCTTCTCGGTTACTTTTTTCTTTTTGATTTGTTTCTGTTTTGTTACGTGTCTGCATGAATTTTCAGCAAAGCAGGAAAGTAATTTCAGTATACATGATACCATCAATTTTAAAAATTTTTTTTGAGAGGTTTTTGCTATAGGGTGCGTGTGCTCACCAGAAAGAGAGAGACAGAGAGAAAGTGAGAAATCACCTCCCAGGGGGATGGCCACGCCACAGTCCCTTCTCCTCCATTCTCCTCTTGGGATCTTGGGCATGCACGCACACGCGCCCAGCATGAGTTTAAGCCACTGGGTCCGGGACTTGAACCACAGTTGACTACGGGATTTGTGGGAGCTGCTTTCAGCTGTGGGAGTCCAGCAACAAAGCCATTACGCCAACTGCTGGTCCTGATAACATCAAATTTTTAAAGAGACTTTTGCTCTAGGGCATGTGCGCCAGCAAGGGAGACAGAAAGTGAGAAATCACCCCACCCCCACGGGATGGCCATGCCTCAATCCCTTCTCTTCCATTCTCCACTCAGGATTTCCACACATGCACAGGTTCCTGGCGTGAGTTTCAAGTCACCAGGTGTGGGACTTGAACTGCAGTCGACCATGTGGGAGTCAGGTACCTTAACTACTATACCACCAGCTGGCCACCAGTTGGGTTGATTAACAACATGAAAAACAAATACTTAAGTCAACCTTCCCTACGAGATTCCAGGTACAGAGCCACTGGCCTGTGCAGCTCCGCTGGCAAAACGTCTCCAGCATATGTATGTTTTTTCAGACTTAGACCCAACATGGCTTTACGTAGGGAGATAAATCCATGCAGCTTTTTAAAGAGAATCTTCATTTGTATTGTATCCCCACCCTCCAACCCCAGCCTTGCAGACTGTGGACATGCTTCTTCTGGAAGAATTTTTTCAGCTAAGATAAACACCAGTCTGTGTGCCCAGAAACAAATACTCACAGGGCACAAAAAGACACAAATGAATTAACTGCATACTTTGCTATTTTAACTCCATTCTTTTTGATTTACCAAGGAATCTGGGGGGTTGGGGTGTTGTTTAGAGGATATTTGCTATAAAAAGACCTAATATTTCCTATTAATTCAAGGGACGGCTATTAGAAGATAAAGGTTTTTGATGTAAATTCTGTGGGCCAGTCAGAATTTTTATCACTTATTAAGAAATATTATAGGACCCTGTCAATACACAGATTTTTTTTTTAAGTTTCTTTATTTTATTTGGTTTTTATCTTTTTAGAGAGAGAGATTTTTGCTATAGTGTGCGTATCCTCACCAGAGAAACAGAGAGAAAGTGAGAAATCACCCCCTGGGGGGATGGCCACACTGCAATCCCTTCTCCTCCATACTTCTCTCAGGATTTTGGGCACGCACACATGCACCCATCGTGAGTTTTAAGCCCCCGGGTCTGGGACGCAAACCATAGTCAACTACGTGGGAGTCCAGCAACATAACCATTACACCATCTGCGGGTCCCTCTTTATTTTATTTGTGAGAGAGAACATGAGCACACACAGGTGTGCATGTGTGCAAGGGGAGAAGGCAACCCTCAACAGGATCTTGTCACATCACAGTCCCTTTCCCCTAGCCTCCTCGGTCATCAGACCTTGTTTCAGCATCAACTAGCATGTTCTCAGGTCGACTTGGGATCGGAGTCTGGCTGGCCATGTGGCTTCCACCACTGCAGTTCGGTATGCTACTGCCTGCGCCATCAAGGCTGGGACCATGGCTGGTTTTTTATGACTTCTAAGTAGCATGAGTCGGAGTGTGTTCCCCAAAACACAAAGCAGCAAACAGACCTGATCCCAGCTGGGTTCCAGGGCAACTGTTACATACAGTAGACCCCAATGGATCATGAATCAGTTCTTACACGTCTGGAAGGTTGCTCCAGGAAAATGACTGGGAACATTGGTGGCCTGTGGGAAAGGGTGACTGGGCAAAGGTTGGAAGGGCGACATTTTTGCAAATGGGCCGTTGTGCATTTTGAATTTTGTATCATGTGACTATATTTCCTATTCAAGAAATAAATGTTTAAAAAATGGTTCTGCTTTATTGCTTCATAAAGACAACTGTGTTCAAAAGCCTTGACTCTAGTGTTTTAGAAGGAAACAAAACAGTCTTAACGATAAGCTAGTGGGCCAGCTAGTGGTATGGTGGTTCAAGCTGCTGGATCCACGTGGCTGACGGTGCAGTTCCACTCTCAGACCCAACAGCTTGGAAACCAGGCCAGGTGCAGGTGCATGCGTACTCTAAATCCCGAGAGGAAAATGGAGAAGAGATCTGAGTGACCATCCCTCCTGGGATTGCTTTCTCACCCCGCCCTCCCTAAGTGCACACACCCTGTAACCATTTTTTTTAAGGTTAGCTAGAAAAAAATGTAGATAATAAATGGTTTACAGACGTCTACTCAATTATGAAAGGCTGTCCACTGCTGCATTTGGGGAGGGGGAAGGAGACTGGGTGACTCACAACCAGTCTCACTGGGCCAACCACTGGACCAACCACCCCATTGGCCCGGTGCACACCAGGGAGGCTAGACGCTGTTTTGGAGGCCTGGGTTCTGTTCTTGGCCTGATCTGAGCAGGCAGGGTGTGGTCACCTGTGCCTGTGATCCCACTAACGGAGCGGCTGGGGCAGGAGCATTGCAACTCAGCGAGACCCTGTGAAAAATGCCTATCCCTCCCTCTCTCTCCCTCTCTCTAAAAATAAATAAATAAGTCACCCCATTAACTGAAAACCTGCAGTCCTATTCTTAGCTTCCTCCGTTCCCTGGGATAGTCTCTCAGGAACATTTGAGCAGCAACGGGTTCTTGTCAAATTCCTGCCATGCTAGGGTTACCACCAACAGTGATAGCCACCACGTTGCAGCCATGGGGAGCAGGTGCTTGGAGGATGGAGTCAGGACCAAATTGTTGGCCCGGAAGAGAAGGGCCAGAGGACCCAAGAGGGCAGGACAGGACAGGTGCTGGGAAGGTCTGGAGCAGCCTGGGGACTCCAGGGTCAGGGAAGCTTGTGGTGAGATGGTGGAGGTCAGAACTAGAGTCCACAGGCAAAATAAAGGGTTGAATTGGGAGGGACAGGGCCCCAACTCTCTGGCTGAAGGACATCCATTCATTCACACATAAAATGGCAACCAGAGGGTGTACAACGGGACTTCAGGGAGTTTGCAGAGAAGTGGAATTACAGAAGTTTATTTTCGTGCAGACATTTTTGAAATCCATGCATAGCTTTTTTTCCATAATATCCAGGCCCTTCTGGGCAGAGGGAGACCAGCTAAGAAGATCAGCACAGGCTCACGGGAAATTGAGCCCAAGCAGGGCAGGCCTAGGCAGATCTGGGAGCAGGGAGGGAGTCCACTTGACCTGCTGCTTGGAGAGACAGGTCTATGAGTCCCCAGGAGATGGCAAAGCAATACAGGCTGGAATCAGAAGAACCAGATTTCCTGTTAGTTTCAAACATGGAGACTGAGTTGCAAGAGAACCAGGGAGCTTGTCCCTGGGACTGGGACCTGGGTTTTAATGAGGCCAGCATGAGGGCTCCACGTACTGTACGGGGCTGGAGAACCGCACAGCCCTCTAAGAAGGGAGACTGCGGTGGAACTGGGTCTCTGCAGCGGAAGAAAGTTGGATGCACGCAGCAAGAAGGAAGAGGAGAGGAGACAGGAAAGGCACATTTCGCCACCTCCTGAGTGTGCAGGCATCCGAAAGAGTTTTCTAGATTTTCTTTACCCACAAACTACATTTTCTTAAATATATATATGTTGCCTTTGAAGGTGTGTGTGTGTGTGTGTGTGTGTGTGTGTGTGTGTGTGTGTGTGTGTAGCCATTTTGAAGGTTGGAACAATTACATCAAACTATATCATATAACTAGGGAACAGGGTCGGTTTCTGCTTAAGCAATCATTTAAATGAGATAAAAAAATCATTAATTTTCTGTCTCATTATAGAAAATTTCCCCAATAGTAAAATTTTGGCTGCTCCTTGAAAGAACTGTAATCCTATAGCTCTGTCAACTAGACCTGCTAGTTCTGGGGTGGTGAAATGTTCCGGAAGTAGATAGCAGAGATGGTTGCACCAACGGAATCTGCAAGGAACCTGAATGGGGTATGTTAAAAAGTTCCATTTTGGAGCCAGCAGGTGGTGTAGTGGTTAAGGCACTGGGCTCCCACGTGGCTGACCGTAGTTTGAGTTCCAGACCCAGTGGCATGAAAATCATGCCAGGTGTGTATGCATTCATGCCCCAAATTCCAAGAGAATGGAGAAGAAGGGATTGTGGGGTGGCCATACCCCTAGAGAGGGGGGTTCTTTCCTTCTCCCTGTCTCTCTCCAGCAAGTGCAAACACCCTATGGCAAAAAAAAAAAAAAACATAAAAAAGGTTTAGTTTGTGGTATATAAATTATATCCTAGTTTTTTAAAACAAGAAGCCATGTCCAGGGACCAGCAGATGGCTTGATGGTTCTGTCACTAGACTCCCCCATGACCAGCCAGAGCTTGAATCTCAGACCCAGCAGTGTGAAACTCATGTTGGTGTGTGTGTGTGTATGTGCAAAATCCTGAGAGGAGAGTGGAGGAGACACGATTGGAGTGTGGTCATTCCCCTCGTGGGGGTGATTTCTCACTTTTCTGTCTCTCTGTCTCTTTGGCAAGTGCATGCACCTTATAGCAAAAATGTCTCTAAAAAGAAAAGAAAAAAAGAAGGCATATCCAGGTATAAAGTCATAAGAAAGAAGCTTAGGAAAGAAAAATGAGTTTTAGGGAGTAATCTAGATTATGACATCTGGTCACTCCGAAAACAGTGACTTCCTCTTCTTTCGAGGACGGGTAAAGCTCCTGGGGGAGAGGACGCGAGCTGAGTGCACCACACCCGCGCTCCCAAACACAAGCACATTGCCTGCCTGTTCATGTCAGGCGATGCTTGGAGCCCAGACATAGCCAGCGTCCGACCACACGCTAAGCAGCTGCTTCGAGGGTAGCCCCTTTCCCCAAGTCCCCTCCAAAGTACCTGTCTGTGCGCGGAGCCCTATCAGGTCGTTGGAAAAGTCATGACGTATTTTTTCTGTTTTTCTGTGTAAAAGTGTGTTACGACTTTTCCAACGACCCCACAATCTACCTATCCTGAAGACACTGCTGCAGCTTTCTTATGAGTTCGAAGCAAGTGATAACCTTTGTCATCTGAAATACAGCTTAATGACATAGTTACCCCATGTGTCCTGTGCTCAGCGTGGCGGCAGGTGTTCACGTATCCTTGGGCTCTTACAAATCCCACTTGTTAGACAGCCTGCAGCGGCCACATCCAGGTCGCCCACGTGGCTCCTGCTCAGCCTTCTTCACGGGCATGTGTTAGACACAGGGAGGGCAGCTGCCTGCAGGGCAATGGAGCTCTAGACAGACAGACAGACAATGAGACCAGAAGGGACACGTGTGGTGACTGCCACTCTCCTGCCTAACTTCCCTGGGCTCATTGTGACGTCCTAAGACCCTGTTACTGCTGATTGCACAGGAAGCACCCAGTGAATGTCATCTGCTGTCCATGGGAGTGTCAGCCAGGCGCAGGGAGCAAGGCCGGGTACAGCCTTCCTGGCACACAGGGCTCCAGTAATGCGCCAGGACCTTGTCATGAAACTCGGAGTACTGTCTCCTGCCCCACCCCTGCTGTACCCACTCAGCCCGGTCAGGGCGCGCTCAGAAGGTCCACATTGTCAGTGTTCACACACCCCTCTCAGTGCACCTCGCGATCCCCGAGTTCGGTGCTTTCTTTATAAAACTTCCTTTCAGACAATACCGGGAAAGTGCAGACATCATCCATTCTCTCAAAATAAATGTCATCAGAGCAGGTTTGTGGTGGCACCGTGGGAGACAGGACAAAAGGCACAAAAGGGAACGGAGCCTGATGCGGACAGTGACCGGGTCTGAGTCAGGCCTGGACTCAAGCAACACTGTGGAGCTGACACCTGCCGAAGAGCTAAGTCTGCACACAGAACAGGGGCATGAACGCACGCAGAAGAGAGGACACTAGGAACGAGCTTCCTACAGGCAGACCCACGCTGTACTTCCGATGCACAGCCTCGTGCTTCGCTCCTCCAGGGACCGGCTCTACCGGGGACTTTACCTGCAAGTCTGCACCACTAAAAAAAGAGCAGCCCTTATTTACTGTGCGGCAGGTTGGGATGACCTGTGAAGGTTGTTGAAAGAGCGGTAAAGAGATGGGGCCAGCAGGTGGCATGGTGGTTAAGGTGCTGGACTCCCACATGGTCGACTGTGGTTTGAGTCCCAGACATGGTTCAAGTCCCGGACCTCGTAATTTGAAGATCATGTTGATTGCATGTGTGTACGTGCTCAAAATCCCATGAGGAGAGTGGAGACGAAGGGATTGCATCATGCCATCCCCTATGGGTGTGTGTGTGATTTCTCACTTTTCTTCTCAATGTCTCTCTCTGGTGAGCACACGTGCTCTGTGGCAAAAACCTTAAAAAAAAATGAAGAGAAAGTTTGAGATGAGTATGAAGAGATAGATATTGAAACTTGCAGAATGATAGAATGCATCTGTGATGATCAGCATGACTGAGTAGCACGGTGATGCGGAGGGACCTGCTGGTACACTTCATGAATCACGTTCTCTGCATTTGCGGGCTGCCCGCTCCTTATTGAGTCATTCGTTGCAAAAGGTCCCAATGATGACAAGCAGCAATGCCACTGTCCTCCGTGAGTACAGGTGGTCTCAGGCTTTCATCAGCAGCAACCACTCTTAGGCAGCAGCAACTGGTCCTGGGAATTTCCCTTGATGCCACGGCCAGGTGGATGTGGACCTTTGCTACCTGCGTTAACGCAGAGGCCTCATTTTGCTGTATCGTTACAGTTTGGCTTCTGTTGTTAGTATGTTTGAAGAGGATTAAAGCTGGTATTCTAGAACATGCCCTTCACTGGTTGTGTAAATAAAACTGTAAAATACAAAAACAAAACAACAACAACAACAAACTTCCTTCTCTATTGAGTCACCTTGGCCAGGGGTGGCTTCTTCCAGGCCATGCTGTTTCTGTACCTCTTTCCAGGTTCTCCATGTGCAGATGAGGCCTGCCTTGACCAAGGCTGACTGCCTTCATTCTCACCCCCCCAGCCCTCCTGGGACAGCTCTGGGTTCCAGCCATACCGAAGGTGTCTTACTGCCACCCCCACCCCAAATGGCATTTCAGACCTCACTCCCTCCGTTCCAACTGTTTGACTGTCTAAAAAGTCTTCCTTGCCCCTCCCTACGCCCACCTACCAGTTCCTAGTCCTCATCTGACTGATTTCCAATTATTCTCGAAGATGGAGCTCACTTTCTGCATCCCCATGAAACTGTCCCTGGCCTTCTGCTGAGGTGGGGCCATCTGTCTCCATAGTGGCACCCGCCCGCATGTTGACCCTAGAAGTTTCCTTTAGCGTCTACTCCAGGGGCCTAGCAGGACTTGACTTGTGGCACACATAAACTCACGTCTGTTCGGCTGAAGCCAGCCATTGGGTTTCCCGGGGCCCTTGATAACGTGACTGCCTGTCACTAGGAGTGCTTGTGGTGTGGTGTTTGCTTGCACTGAGAGAGCTGATGAGGAAAGGAGCTTTTCTGCGGCAGGCTGATAAGCATCTCTGGGTCACAATAAAGGACTTGGCTGTTTGGTTTTGTTTTGTTTCATTTAGATGGGCAGATTCAGAAATTAGTACAGACAGTCCCCGACTGACTACGGTTCGATTGTGCAAAAGCTGTGTACTTTCTGTAGAAACCATGCTTTGAAGCTAGAGTCTTGATCTGATCTTCACTAAATTCAATAAATTACCCGAGATATCCCACACTTTGTAATAGAGCAGGCTTAGTGTTAGATGATGTTGCCCAACTATAGGCTAACGCAGGAGGCTGGGCTGTGAACTGGTGCCAGTCCACCAGGGAGCGCTGTGGGGTGGGCAGCCCACGAGTGAGTGGAGCTTCGTCTGTGTTTGCAGCCTCTCCCCATCGCCCCTGGGCTCCTGGCGGGTCAGTGAGGGTATTGGTTTCTCACGGGAGTTCAGACCTTGTTGTGATTGTTTCATTGTGTATGGCAATGTTTTAGTGGTGGAAGTGGGGTGCACTGTGGATGTGGTACATCCGGGTCACCCCAAGACCACCACCTCTCCTTGTCCATGGAAGAGTTGTCGCCCACGAGGCCAGTCTGGTGTGGGGGAGATTGGAAACTGCTGGCTGCTCTAAGTGTTCTGAGCATGTTGAGGGCAGCCTCCTCTAAGCTACGATGTTCAGTAGCATAGGTATATTATTGATAAATGGATTTTCTTTTTCTCTTTTTAAAATTTGGTAGAGGCCACATGTGCTCACTTGCAAGAGAGAGAGAGAGAGCAAGTAAGAAATCACTCTGCAGGGAGGATGGTCACGCCATAATCCATTTTTCTCAATTCTCCTCTCATTATTTTAGACAGACATGCGCTGTGCGTGTTTTCAAGCCACTGGGTCCGAGATTTGAACCGTGTACTTGGCCATGTAGGATCCAGTGTCTTCACCACCAGGCCACTGGTTAGCTGTATTAAGGGCATTTTCAACTTAGTATATTTTCAGCATATGTGGGTTATTGAGATATAACGGCATCTAAGTCGAGATCTGTATTAGATTAGAATCACACTATTTTGGGCCAGAAAGGAAACAGCAGCTCAGAAAGCTTAAGTAGCTGTCCAGAATGCCTGTGGCGGCACACATCGGGGACGTGGCGCACTGAGTCTCTACGACACCTTTCTGTCCCCACTTTTGCAAACTGTTTGATCTGGGCCAGTCGGGTGGTATGGTGGTTAAGGTGGTTGGATGCCACACGGCCATGTGGGTAGTGTGCGCCTCGGACCTGACAGCTGAGAAGATACGGGTGTGTGCGTGCTCACAGTCCTGACAGGAGACAGGAGGAGGGGCGGCTAGGGGGTGATTTCTCACTTTCCCTCTCCTCTTTCTCCCTCGATCTCTGTCTCTCTCCAGCGAATGCACATGCCCTATAGAAAAGCAAAGCAAAACAAAACAAAACAACAAACTGTCTGATACATAATGCTGGAGCCACGTGACCAACCATGGGTTCAGATCCCAAGTAGACCTGAAGTGCACCAGGCACACAGGTGCCCAAGATTCTGACTCGCTGGGGAGCAGGGGAGGAGGATCACCGCGGGACAAGACCCTGCTGAGGGTACCTCTCTCTCTCTCAATAACGTGAATAAACCTTTAAAATAAAAAGACTATTCTCTGTATATTTAATGTTTTAAAAGGTAAAATACAAAAAGGTAAAAGTATTAAAAATCTTGGGAACCAGCAGTTAGCGTAATGGCTATGTCGCTGGACTCCCACATAGTCTACCGCGGTTCATGTCCCAGACCCGGTGGCTTGAAACTCACGCTGGGCGCGTGTGCGTGCGTGCCCAAGATCCCGAGAGGAGAATGGAGGAGAAGGGATTGCGGCGTGACCATCCCCCCTGGGGGGTGATTTCTCGCTTTCTGTCTCTATGTCTCTCTCTGTCTGTCTGGCGAGCGCACGCGCCCTACAGTGAAAAATCTCTCAAAAAAAAAAAAGTATTAAAAATCTTTAATATTTAAGAGCTTGGAAGACCAAATTTGAAATCCCCTGGTATAAATTTTTTTTAAATTAAAATTACTCATTTATTTCATTTTATTTATTATTGTTATTATTTTAATTTGCTATAGGGCACATGTGCTCAGCAGAGGAGACAGAGAGAGAGAGAAAAAGTGAGAAAGCAAGCCACCAGGTCTAGGACTCGAACTGCAGCCGACCTTGTGGGGATCCACTGCCTTAACCACTATGCCACCTGCCAGCCCCCCCTTCCTGGTATAAATGATTAAGGGGGCTCATTTTGTCTTCCTACTTTTCACTGCCCAGGTTGACTGAGTGTATTGTCCACCGTGTGACTCCAAAAAACCAGGTCCAATTTTTTTTCTCTCTCTCTCTCTTTTTTTTCTTCAGTTTTTGCTATAGGTTATGTGTACTCGACAGAGAGAGAGCCAGAGAAAGAGGGAGAGAACGTGAGAAATCACCCCTCGGGGGTTGGTCACACCGCAGTCTCTCCTCTTCCACTCTCCTTTGGGGATTTGGGGCACGCACACACGCCCAGCATGATTTTCAAGCTGCTCGTTTTGAGAGTCAAACCAAGAAGTCGGCAATGTGGGATCCAACCACCTTACCCTTCACACCACCTGCTGACCCCAGATCAGTTTTATCGACGGCTTGTGTAGGGCAGTTTTCAATGTTCTATGTACAGTTTGTAAATCTCCTTTAATCCATCCATGCATGACCATTACTGACATGTTTCACATGTTTAAACAGGTTTTCATGCTAAAACAGGTTTCAAGTCCTGTGTTAAAATACTGGCTTCATCCATTCTTAGAGAGAAACGGGATACGGAACCAGCAGTTAGCGTAATGGCTATGTCGCTGGACTCCCACGTAGTCGACCGCGGTTCGTGTCCCGGATCTGGTGGCTTAAAACTCACGCCGGGCGCGTGTGCGTGCGTGCCCAAGATCCCGAGAGGAGAATGGAGGAGAAGGGATTGCGGCGTGACCATCCCCCCTGGGGGGTGATTTCTCGCTTTCTGTCTCTATGTCTCTCTCTGTCTGTCTGGCGAGCGCACGTGCCCTATAGCGAAAACCTCTCCAAAAAAAAAAAAGAGAAACGGGATAGAATAGCACAGTGGCATTTGGGAGGTGGCAGTACGTAGAGTAGTTTCAGGATGGCTGATGGTATTTTCTTAGGTTTCTAGGAAATGTAATTTGGTGATTCACTTTTGTTTCATCTGAAAGGAACTTTTATGTAACCCCTATCTGACATTGATTCTCTTTTCAGGTGGCTTTTCAGATCACTCCTCCCTGTGCCAGTGAGAGGCAGTACAAGCATCTTGGACGGTGCTGTAACAAATGTGAACCAGGTAGGCCCGCGTCTGCGGCCCCGTCTGAGCCCCGTCATGGCCCTCGAAAGTGGGTGGGGCTTGCTTTGTCTTTTTCCCAGCCTGCCAGATGAGCAAAGAAATCGGGTAGACTTTCCATGGTACTGATAGGTAGTAATGTCTGTCACTGTAAAGACGAAACCTCTGTCTTAATAGATGAAATCATTTAACAGTCAAGTGTCACCTTAGAAGCCGGCGCCTACTTTGTGCTGAAAAAACCTTTTTCAAAAAGGTTTTTTTTTTTTTTTCTTTCAGGTTTTTGCCATAGGGCAGGTACTCTCACCAAAGAGACAGAGGCAGAGAGGCAGGGAAAGTAAGAAATCACCCCTCAGGGGGATGGCCACTCTGCAATCCCTTCTCCTCCATTCTCCTCTCAGGGTTTTGGGCACACACACTCAGCAAGACTTTTTTAAACCACCAGGTCCAGAACTCAAGCCACAGTTGGCCATGTAGGAATCCATCGTACAACTTGCTGCTCCCCAAAAACACTATTTCTTAAGAGACAAGGTTTTCAAAACCATCTTTAGCACTTTATATTCAAGCTCACAAAGTGGGGAATACAGCTCTTATTTAAAAGTGTTTTCCTAGAAATTTTAACTTGGAGATTTTATCATGTAATAACTATGCTGGAATTGCTGCTGCTAAAAATTTCCTGAATATTGTTATGCCTTCTGCATACCTGCTGAGGAGCTGAAGACGGACTGGCTACCACCTCCAGAAAGTGTTTTCACGGCCCGAGTGAAGTCCCCGGCCCCTGGGCCCTCACTCTCTTAATGTTCCAGAAATGGCAGGGGAGGGCGGGTTACCTTAGAACAAGACCCTTTGGATAGTTCAGCTAATACTGTTTCTAGGATGTGCAGAACCAAGATCCACTGATTGTCATGTGTGGTCTGTGTGTGTGACTCTTGGTTAAATCAAGTTAACCATGAGCCCATAGTGTGTGTAGGACCTAAGTTAACTCTCCACATTGAAGGTCGAGGGGATTTGAGGACGGGGAGGGGTAAAGAAGCTTCTCTTCCTTGGCCCCTTATTCCCCAAGTGGGTTCCTTCACTTCTGCAGGGCCCAGTTTAAAACCACAGTTCTACTCCTTCATCAGCAGCGTTTTGGGGTACAAAGGGTGGTTGGTCTTTTGCTTAGCAGAACCATGAGATCCTGGGATCACAGGCTCAGCCAACCCAGGAGAGGTTGTTTTAGCCAATGGAGGGCCTCTGAGCCCAGGATCCCCCTCGCTGTGTTAGGACGCCCCTCGCGTACTGTGTCATCATGGGAGGGCTTCCACTTTCTGGGATCATGGTCACGGGACTCGTCCGGTGGCGTGGTACATTTCGTTGTTGCTGTCCTGTGCTGTTGTCTGTGCTTCTTTGATAGAGTCGTGCATTTCCCCCTTCTCATGTAGGGAAGTACATGTCTTCTAAGTGCACCACTACCTCCGACAGCACGTGTCTGCCCTGTGGCCCGGATGAATACTTGGACACCTGGAATGAAGAAGATAAATGCTTGCTACATAAAGTCTGCGACACAGGTGAGCGGGTCATGCCAACGGGCAGTGAGAAGCACGGAAGCACAGCATTCATGGTTCCCCGTCTACTTACATGTTTTTGTTGTTGTTGTTGTTTTTGAGAGGTTTTTGCTATAGGATGCATGTGCTTGCCAGAAAAACAGAGAGACCGAAAGTAAGAAGTCACCCTCCCCACCCAGGGGGGATGGCCACACCACAATCTCTTCTCCTCCATTCTTCTCTCAGGATCTTGGGCATGAACGCACATGCGCCCAGAACCATGAGTTTAAGCCACCGGGTCTGGGACTCGAACTGCAGTCAACTACATGGGAGTCCAGCAACATAGCCATTACACCAACTGCTGGTCCCCTACTTACATGTTTTAACAGACAGCCAGTGCCGTTTCTTTTGGGGGCACGGGAAGGAGTTATCACCATGGACACCCCCTCTTCCCCCAAAAGATGTGTTTTAGATCTGCCACATCCAGAGTTAAAATTCTTCATTTAGAACTTTCATTCTGGAGCCAGGCAGAGGTGCGAGAGTAACGCAACTGGAGTTGCAGGAGAAGGTCTTGGGTTCACGTCCCTGGCCTCCCTGTGGACACACCAGGCATGTGTGCTCGCGATCTGGGATGGCTGAGGCGGGGGAGAGTCGCAGCACAGAGACCTTGCGGGAGGTGCCTGTCTCGCTCCCTGCCCCTGTAAAGTCTCGTTCATCCTCCCCGAGCCCCGTGAGGTTGTCATACGTGTCCCGTTTGGAAGATGGAGGAACTGAGATTCAGAGAGATTCAGTGACTTCTCCAAGGTAAACATGAGAAGCAGAACCAGGTTTTCGGACTCATAATCATTTTTCCTAAACCATAATTCTTTTTTCTTTTTGATTGCCAAAGGACTAGTCACTTGTGAGAGAGAGAGAGGGGGAGTGAGGAAAAGAGGGGCAGAGAGAGAGAGAGAAAGCAACCCCAACCCCCCATGGAGTTTGTTTATGTCACAAGCCCTTTTCCTCTATGTCTCCCTCCTGTCAGGAGTTTGTGCATGCATGCAGTGGTTTTTCAAGCCACTGGGGCGGGATTCAAACCGTAGTCAAGCATGTGGGATCAGCTACTGCTACACTACACTCCCCACTGCACTGTGAGCACTCAACTGTTTTGTAAATTACAGTTTATTGTAAGAATCAAACTATGTCTCTTGAGTCTCTTAACCTAGAGGTTCCCTACTCTCCTTTTATCTTTTTCCCATTCGGCTTATTTGTTGGAGAGCCCATGATGTGGGTCGCTGGGGCTTCCACAGTCTGGACTTTGCTAGTGGTAGGCCCTTCGTGTCATTTGGCACATTCTTCTGTCTCCCGTACAAGGAGACTTCAAAAAAGTTTGTAGAAAATGGAATTAAAGAACAAGCTTAGGGGCCAGCCAATGGCATGGAATGTTAGGGCAGCTGGAATGCACATGGCTGTGTGGTTCGAGTCTCAGACGCAGCAGCTCGAAAAACACACTGCTCGCATATGTGTGCATCCCCAAAATCCCAAGAGGAGAACAGAGGAGAGGAAACTGTGGCATAGCCATCCTCCCGAAGGGGGGGATGCTTTCCTTCCCTCTCTCTCTCTCTGTGTCTCTATCTCTCTGTCTTTCCAGTGAGCATACGTGCCCTATAACAATTTTTCTTTTTAAAGTACAAGTTTATTTTGGTGTTAAAAAATTTAAATTATGTCATTTTTCATAATATATATTTTCTATGAACTTTTTCAAGACTTCCTCATATTTCCTGTATAATGGCTGTTAGGTTTAAAAAGCTGACTGGATTCTGGCTTGTTTTTTGTTTTTGGCAAAACGCCTCCATACATAGAGTGTAGTATTGGGCTCGTGTGTAGTTGCTGTGTCTCTTTGGTGATCTTGGCAGCTGTTGGTAAGCCTGGCCTAGATTTGTTTTGATTAGGAGCTGTAAAAGGTAATGTTCCAATTCTGCCATTCTTTTGTTTTTAAAATTTCTTCTGTGACAGAGACAGACAGACAGACAGACAGCACCACCAACAGGGTTTTGGTGCCACAATCCATCCCCAGCTTTCAGGCAGCCCTGGATCAGGGGCACACATGTACCCAGGGTAGTCAGGGAGGTCTCCAGACTTGAACCAGGAACCTTTATCTGTGGGATTGCCTTGTAGAGCGTTGCATTTTTCTAGTGCACTGCCATCTGGCCCCTCCATTTCTTCTACATGCATTGGCTGGAACGCTTTCATAGGGAGAAACTCCCCTTCTCTCCTGGGTGTCCCCCTGAAGTACGGTTCACATAGGAAAGGGAGCCCAAATGCTCAGCACTTCACCACTTTCCGAAGTAATGACTCGGTTATCCAGCTCCTCCACGGCCTTACAGCCACATGATAAACTGTGAATTTAGAAGTGTTTGAGGTGCTTCCATCTATTGCAGTTACTGTGCTACTGGTGCCCAGTGTCCCAGCTTTTTGAGGTGGCCCCGAGTCTTTCGATATGGCCTGACCTGGGGCCCCTGGAAGAGCTCCCTTGCTTCCAGGCCTACCTTGGCCATCTCCTGCCCTGAGCTGCAGTCAGCCATTTCTCCAGGGATTCCCGATTGCTTTTAATGGAACAGTTTTAGAGACTTTATCCTGGGTGCTGGGAGACTACAGAGGATTGATCCTTGTTTATAGTTAGTTTTTTTTGTTGTCGTTGTTGCTGTTTTGGTTTTTTGGGTTTTTTTTCCCCCATTGGACAGATTCTTTTCTCTTCCCCCCACCAGACTTTTTCTAATGCATTAGAGGCAGCTAGCAAGTTTGGGCTAGAGAAGGTGTCATGGAAACTCCCCTGGGCAGAAGCATCTGATCAAGTCTGTTTTATTTCCCACTGCTTAGTAATGACCTTGACTCATTTCTGTCTCTTGGAAATAAAGCTTCATCTGTCTACTGCCACAGCTGATTAAAGCCAAAAACCTCGTACATTAAGATATCTTAAAATACGTCAAAAATATTGAATACCACAGAAGCTTACGCTCACTTCCATTTGCGTTCTCAGGGTACTGGGAGTGCGTAGAATTTTTGGTGGAGGGGCACGTGTCCACTTACGTCCCTGTGCATTGTGTTCACGTTTCTGTTTGCTGGCGTTGGTGCTGCCCACCTGGCCTGGGCCTCGGAGCATGGGCACAGAAGGGAATGGGAGCTCTCCAGGTTACTATGTATGCATGGGCCTAAAAAAGGAACAGACATACAAAATGTCCCTTCCTGCTGGCCATAACTGGAGACAGTGAAGGAGGGAACAGGTTTCTGGTCTGTTTCCTTCTCTCTTTGAATGCCTAGAATGCCTTCAGGACTGAAGGCCCACGTGCCGTTGGTCAGCCTGGATGAGATGGAGTCCTACCAGGCCACAAGGCCCATGGGAAAGAATACTGTGGTTCTGTATAGGGTGTGTGAGTGTGCGTGTGTGCGCATGTGAGCAGCAGAGTCTCACTATTCACAGCAGTTATGTCTCCAAAGTCACCACAAATGCTGAATGAGCAAGTCTTGAACCATCACTCTTAAGGAAATATGGGGTCAGGTTCCTGTGAGTCCCTGGTTACATTTTCATCTGCTGCTCAATGTACAACCTTGTTTTCTGTGTGCTTCCATTTAAGGCACCTTATTTGAGGCATGAGTTGTTCGCTCACAGCACACTCACGGCCAGCAGCACTGGCTCATGCTGAACGAGGCTTCTCCAACACGGGTTCTCTCCGTAAGGCACATTGCAGGCTTCTTGTGCTCAGGAACACTAGGCAGCACTTCCATGGTCCACTCAGAGGCTGTTTTAAACAGGGAAATCAAGACCAGCATTTGTCATTGTGATTAAGGTGTAGGACTCCCACATGGTCAACTGCAGTTTGAGTCTCAGAACTGGTGGCTTGAAAATCACACGCGGCACATGTGGGTGCATGCTCAAAATTTCGGGAGGAGAATGGAGAAGGGATTGCAGCGTGGCCATCCACCTGGAAAGTGATCTCTCACTTCCACTCTCACTATCTCTGTCTGTCTCTCTGGCAAGTGCATGTGCCCTATGGCAAAAAAATTTTTTTTTAAAAAAGGAAATCAACAAGGAACAGCAGTTAGTGTAATGGCTATGGCGCCGGACTCCCATGTAGTCAACTGCAGTTCGAGTCCCGGACATAGTGGTTTAAACTCACGCTGGGCGCGTGTGCATGCATGCCCAAGATCCCGAGAGGAGAATGGAGGAGAAGGGATTGCAGCGTGGCCATCCCCCTGGGGGGTGATTTCTCACTTTCTGTCTCTCTGTCTCTCTCTGTCTTTCTGGCACATGCCCTATAGCAAAAACCTCTCCCAAAAAAAAGAAAAAAAAAAGGAAATTAACAAAAAGCACAAACATGAGCTAAAATGTGAGACTAGATAAATTGCACGAAGTGCACTTGTTTATAGTCTGAGAGACGAAGCGAGAAGGCAAAGCATGGCCTAGCTTGACCTCAGTGAGAACCCGAGCCTTCAGAGAGCCCAACTTCAGAGTTCTTTTTTTTAAAAAAATTATTTTATTGGAGGCCAGCAGGTGGTGTTGTGGTTAAGGCAGCTGAACTCCCACATGGCTGACCATAGTTCAAGTCCTGACCTAGCAGCCTGCTTTCTCACTTTCCTTCTCTCTCTCTCTCTCTCTCTCTCTCTCTCTCTTTCTGTCTCTGGTAAACTTCAATAAAATTTAAAAATAATAATAATGACAATGAATACAATTATTTTATTTTAACTTTATTTATTTATTTATTTTAACTTGACCAGAGAGGGACAGAGTGAGAGAGGGAGAGCAAAAGCGAGAAAGCAAACAGTTCGAGTCCAGGTCTGGGACTCGAATTGGGGTAGGTCATGTGTCTTAACCACGACGCCACCTGCCGGCCTCAACCTCACACAGTTCTGTACAAGTCCACAAGTGGCTGCAAAGTGCAAAGGGCACTGACTTGAGATACAAAGAAAATGTAGTGAGTAGGCAACTCCCAAATCTGAATCTGCCGGTACGGTAATGAGGGTGGGCTATGTATGTGTGCATGTACGTGTTCGTGTGCACGTGCTTGTGCATGCGTGTAAGTTTACCGGAGATAAATTCCGTGTGCTGCATTCCAGAAAAACTGGAAGAGGCCAGGAGTTTCAGTGTGGAGAAGGCAAACTCTCTGCTGTGTGTGTAAAAAAAATAAACAAGCGTGTCACTAAACATTTAGAGACGGCTGACCCCTACAGTGCCATCAGACTAGCCTCTGGAACTTTTCTGCTTAGCTAACTATGCACTGACCCCATTTGCACCCTGGGACCCTTGGGGATCCCAAGATGAATCTCGAATCTCCGGGAACCCTATTCTAGCCTAGGTGCAATCTTGCCTTAGTGTTAAGAATATTTATGACATGTGAATTTAATGAAAATCAAAAAGGTGTGCCCTATGTCTGATACTTCTTTCACTAGAGCCATCAATGATCATAAATGTCTCAATGTATGTATATGTATGTATGTATTTAGCTATAGGGCACGTATGCTCGCTGGAGAGGGGGTGGAGGAGCGAGAAGCACCCCTCAGAGGGCATGGTCTCACCCCAGTCCCGTCTCTGCCATTCTCCTCTGGGATTCTGGATACTCACAGCATATGCTAGGCACATTTTTCAAGCCTCTAGGCCCAGAAGTCCATCCGTGCACCCACGTGGGACCCAGCAGCCTTAGCCAGCACGCTGCCCAATTCTCAGTCTTTAATCTTCCTACTCACGTGAAAATGGACTTTTCAAAAACCCCACACAACTCTTCATTATTAGAGAGAGGAACAGCCCTGCTGGGATATTCCTTGCCCACAGGAAATGCGAGGAGAACGTGGAGTTCCTTAAACAGAGTGTCCTGAATGATTCGTTCTGCAGGCGTCGCGGATGGGTGGCTTGGGGTCGGCTGGGGTGGGGGACAGCTACACGAC